TCTTATTTCCCTGGTTAAATATTGATGTTGATTACAACTATAAATAATAAAGCGATAGGGCATTTATTGATCGATTTAAATTGGAAAGAACCAGAAGTACTTGAGAATGGTGCCGTTGAAAAACTCAAAAAAGCTCATAAACATTCATCGAATGATAAATTTTGAACACGTACTTGTCGACGTGAAGCTAGCAGAGCAAAATGCAATTGCAAGCCGGAGGTCATTGCTATCTTCAATGGTTAAGTACGAATATGATAAATGCAAGCTTCCCTTATATTTTCCCATCAAAAAGCAATTTGTATTCCGATTTTTATTCTTGATAACAGACATCGGGTTTAAAAGCTTTTAGATTAATTCGTTTCTTTTGTTATAGATCTATAGTGCTTTCGATTTGCTTTTTATAAATAGTTTCTTACTTATTTAGGTCTGCGAGCTTCCCACCGATTTAAGTTAGGTTCTCACTAATTGTTTTCTCTTCGGCCTATCCATGCAACGAACGAAAAAGTATAAACAACTCGCGAGGCGTTACGTGCTTTCCCATTTTATTATGATCGATAAAAAGAAAAATCGTAAAGTGATTTGGGATTCGGTGCGTTTACTGCTTGACGTAGTGTAATATTTCCTTGAAATAATGCTTCGTCAACGTAATGGGGCTATGAATCCACTCGTCAAGACCACTAACTGCCGAACTTTTACTTTTATGGAATATAACTCTCAATCAGGATGAACGCGCCTTCAGGAGAGGGCATATGACTCAATACTCGTCAATAAGTTAGTTTTGCTGAACGTAACTGCAATACAGCTCGTAATTTAGGCCATAACGTATACTAAGGAGCACTTGTCGTAATACTGCTAATAAGGCTTTAACTCAGGTGCCACAAGCCAGCAGAGCCATTTTAGAAATATGAAGGATGAAATACATCAGAATTATAGGCTGATTATAGGCCCTTTTTGGACACTTGAACAAATTTTCAGGCGGCATCCTTTAAAAAAAAACTATGGCCGGTTGGTCTACGTAGCCGAAAAACAATTGCGAACTTTGTTATATCCTGAAGTTATCGTACACACTGACAGACAGACGGACAGACAGACGCACAGACAGACAGCAATAAAAATAATAAACGATCTCGAGGTTCGTTAATAATATAATGAGACGAATAATTTTAATTTTTTTTGTACTTCTTTCCAATTCAGGAATATCGTTTCAACTTTTCTTCTCCTATAATATAAGAGAAGATGCATAGACAACTAAGACACTTTTAACATTACTTTTTTTAAAACCTGAAACACAACAACTTGCTATATATTTGATTTATTAGTAAAAGAAAATTCAAATTTCAAATACCTATTTGACAGATGTCTCCAAACAGGTGGAACAATCCCTAACATTAAAGTTATCTACTGGAATCTGGTAACTTCCGCAATTTTTGGGCAAAAAACATGCGTTCTCTCTCTAACACACGGGCCCAATGGATTGCGGTACTTTCTATATTTAGTGACTTATAATGGTCTACAGTGACTGTATACCTACTGTATAGACGCAGTTTGGTCATACTTTGGTGTTGTTTTTTTATTGGTAGGTGGGATATCTGCCATATTTTAAAATCGGGTTGGCGGAAATTAACTTGGAATCCAAGGTGATCAAGTCACACACATGTTGTGGCAATAATATAAATTGTAACCATAGAAAAATGCCAAAATCTACCAATTCAATTAAACCGATCAGCTCAATGAAGAATATGGGAAAAACATGGCGGATATAGAGCATATGACCACACTGTCTTTATACAGTCACTGTAAATGGATGGTATTTATTACAAGGCAAAAATTGCGCATAACGTATCGCACATGTGATCAGCTAGCTTCTTCTTTATCCAGCAAAATCATAGTTTTTTTGTTTAAAGGATGCCGCCTGAAAATTTGTTGTAGTGACTAAAAAAATCCTATAAATAGCCTATAATTTTGTGATCTGAATTTTTCACCTTCGAAGCAAATCTCACAAGTGGTCAGCTAGCTTTGTCTTTAGCCAGCAGAGCCATAGTTTTTTTCTTTAAAGGACGCCGCCTGAAAATTTGTTCAAGTGTCCAAAAAGGGCCTATAATCAGCCTATAATTCTGATGTATTTCGTCCTTCGTTTTTCTAAAGTGGCTCTGCTAGCTTGTGGGATCTCTAACTCAATAATAGTAACAGGAATATTGAGAAACCGCAATTAGCATACTACTTATGCCTTTTTTCCATCTTCATTGGCAAGAAAACGGCGTAAAAGTTCGGAAAAACGCCAACCTGAGCGATGGTGACGCCCGACAGGAGCCTGTTTAATTCCTCATTACAGTTTGGCGTAACGGTTTAAGACTCGGACTCTAACCTCACAGGTTGTGAGGTCGAATCCCAGAACTTGCCAGTTTTTAGTGGTACAGAACTTCTCCTGACTACTATTCCCACTTCGGCGGGCATGTAAAGCTGGCGGTCTCGGCAGTCATACCACGACTGTTGTTGGCCACCTGAAAACGTCTGTACCTAGGCAGTGCCACCCATAGGATGCAATACAATTTAGATATTTCGCCAATGAGCGAAAACTCGAGTCTGATATTTGTTTATTTACTTCAGAAGCTCGACATGGTTTCTTCAATCCTGGATTTACGAAATTATTATCACAGATTTACATTGAATATGCTGGAGAAATGTTTGAAAATCTGCTTAATGCCACCAACTTTCAAAATCCGAGAACGATATAAAACCCACGTTTTAGACCGTATAAACATACTATCGTATTCATTTCCAAGTCGCGTTGTTTGATGTACATACATATTAGCATTATATTAAAACGCGCGCTGCGAAATAAAAGGCAATAAGGGATTGTGTTGGGTACAAAATGCTAATTTCATCCAAGTGTCAGTTTTGTTTTAGCTTTTAATAGAAATTCAACTAACCGAATGGAATTCCTTTGTTTTGTCCCTTTGGTTTGTCGGAAAAGGGTAGAATAGGACGATGTCTTTATTGTCATCGGCCATGCGGAAAGCTCATTTTTGAGCGGAAGTCTGCGAATATGAATTCTACCAATCACAGTGGCTGAAACTACTGATCTACCTATTTAAAATATCGTGGGAAGTGACATGCGTGACTGCAATAATTGCAAAATGAAGGTACATGAAAATATCCTGCATGGTTAAAAACATTCACTATGGTAAATCGTCTTCATTAGGGTAAAAATTGTTCAAGCACAAAGCACTGTAATATTTTAAAACAAAATTGAATTTATTCACCGTAAGCTTTAAGCTTCAAAACTTGAACTTCATAAATTAATCCTAAACCCTTGAAAAAATTTCGTAATTTTAGTCTGCAAATAACTCCTCAACCGTACATGTAACTTTATTATTTGTTGAAAATCTTTTACCCCCTACACTTTTTTAAACTTTGGGAATAAACAGTATCCTGTGGGATTTTCCTAAAATCTTTTCGGTTAATTTAGTTAACAACTCGTTATAAGGTTTCTAACAAACCTTAGTCCTTTGAAAAAATAACCGAAACCGAAACGCTTTTTAATCAAAATCAAGCTTTTCCATCTAGTCCTCTCCTATTAACTTTCTTTTAGAAAGGACCACATATAAAAGCCATTTTTAGATAATTTAAGTGTGGATGTTTCAATTCAATTGACCATTTCAGAGATAATGTGTGTGAATATAATGCAAGAAAATGTGTCAATTGTTAGTACCAAACAACCCCAACTTTTTAGCACTTGTAAATTGCAGACGCTTGGCTTTGTTTATGGGTTGGTATGTGTAGATTACGAGGTAGATTAAATGTCAAGCAGATTATTTTCGGCCACCACTCAATTAAATTGGATGTTAGATTTACAAAAAGAGCAGTTGTTATGTATATTTGTCAAAAATATTGATTGGTTGCCATTTGTGGAGGAAGATCTGCCTTTTTTATTTAGAGGAGTTATCTTGGCGACCGTGACAGGACCGCTAAGAAGTATTTCGTAGCTTTTGAAGGTTGATTATGGTAAAGCCACGGTTAATTTTGCGTGTTTCCTACATAAAAATGTGTGACAATATCATTGCATCAATAAGAGGCCTTCATTCGAATTGAAAGCAGCTTTGGGTTCTTTAGAACAGAGGTTTGAGGAAATATAGGTTTTAAATGGAGATCTTATTGATTTGTAACGGATTGTTTTCTCCTACTTCTTCTGGTTGATAAAATCTGAGGTTCTTATGATATAGATTTATTAATATGCCGCGGCTCCTCGTCGGTTAACAATCCTCTTCTGGCCTCAACGATACACAATACGTGAATATAAGAATATCCAGGCATGAGTTAAAGTGTTGTAGGTAATTGACGTTCACAACACAAAAAACACCGCCTTAAGGCAACGCGCAAGTAGGTAGTTCAAATTGTCTTTACATTAATGAGTATATATAATTTATACTAATACGCTACAACGATTTCAAAAAAGGACATGTTTTGTTTGTTTAATCCCAGGTCATACCGTACGTAGATGTAAAGACATTATCTGGTTATTTGTCATCAAGGTATAGAGGAGTCTGAGAAAATTGCAGTCAGGTAACAGATACCTCAATTATTGCCAGAGAAAGTTCATTGGCCAGTTTCGCAACATCAAGTTATTTTACAAACTTTAACCGTTATCTTGTATAGTACAAATGAGAAAGAACGTTATGCTCGAGGTACTGCTTCTCAACGTTCTTATATTTTAAAAGAAACTGCTGCAGAATTAGGTTATGAACCTATTGCAACGGAAAAGGTTATACATTTTTTATTTGGTGGATTAAATACAGGAGAGAAAATACATTCAACTTATAAAATACGTATGTAAGGTTTCAATAGAAGATATTCTTGCAATAAGCCACTTGTAAAGTGCTGAACGTGAGAATAAAATCTTTGAAAAACACGCGCATTTAATTAAAACACTTCGATGCGAGACGAACGTGACCATGATTCAAATTCCATGGTCCGACCAAGTCAGTCAGTGCTTCCGCACGCAGATCCTAACATGTACCTTTCCATTTACCTAGTTTTGGCAATTCGTCTAGCAGATACCGCTCGCATTTTGGGCGTCTGCCCAATCCCCTCTTACAGCCATTTTGTGTTGAGTAACCGTATCTTTAAGGAGTTAGCGAGAAGAGGTCACGATGTAACAGTCATATCGGCGTATTCCAATGATGCACCAATGGACAACTTTAGAGAAGTGCTAGTGACGGATGCCCTTGATAAGATGAAAGGTTTAATAGCCTACTCAATTCTTTCACGTTACAATGCGGTTGATTTTTTAGCTGTCGCAAAAACCTTTTACGATCAAAGCGATAGCAACATCATTAGTAAGGTCATGTGGATGGATAAGATTACAGTAGAGATGTCAGAGTTTGGACTGAATAATTCAAACGTAACCAAATTTTTACGCGAACATGGTCACTTTGACGTCGTTATAACGCACCAGTTAAAGACCGATTCCTACTACGGATTTTGCCACCATTTTAAAGCACCTTGCATAGCTCTTAGTCCCATGTCATCAATCACCTGGATTAGTGGCTCAATTGGCAATCCAGCTCCCCCGTCCTTCGTCCCGCAACTAGTCTTGGGTTATACAAGTGTCATGAATGTTTGGCAAAGGGTGCACAACACCGTGATTTACGCGGTGGTTCACCTGAGTTACTACCTCTACAGCTACCCTAATCACCAGGACTTGTTGCAGAAATACTTTCCAGGAGCTCCTCCTCTGCGCGAACTATATTACAACATTTCCCTAGTACTATTCAACGGTCACATGAGTATCGGCGACGTAGCACCACTATTACCGAATGCAATTGATATCGCCGGATACCACGTCTACCCTCCGAAAGCGCTACCAGAAGATCTTCGGCATTTTCTGGATAGTGCAAGAGATGGTGTTATTTACTTTAGCATGGGCTCCAATCTTAAAGGCGCAGACTTTTCGAAAGAGAAAAAGGACGCCGTTCTCACCGCGTTCTCAAAGTTGAACCACACAGTTTTATGGAAGTGGGAGAACGGAACCATTCCAGGCCAACCGAAAAACGTTTTGGTGCGCCCGTGGTTTCCGCAACAGGACATCTTAGGTGGGTTACCGGTTAAAAGGAATGCACAAACTTGACTTTCAGCACATCCAAACGTTGTCCTTGTCGTTACTCACGGTGGACTTTTAAGCACCATCGAGTCAGTTTACCATGGAAAACCACTGCTGGGGCTGCCAGTGTTTGCCGATCAAGGACTCAACATGGCAATGGCTCAAGAGGCGGGTTACGGGAGATACATCCAGTTTCAGGATTTAAACGTGGAGAATTTTGGCAGTGAACTACGCGAGATGCTCTACAATCCCAGGTGAGGAGGCGCGTTGCTAAACATTTGGAACACTATACTTGCAGTTACGGTCGTGTCGCCAAAATGAGATCTAAAATTATGCACGACCAACCGCTGTCGCCCCTGGAGAAGTCAATGTATTGGATAGAATATGTTTTACGTCATAAAGGAGCTCCGCATTTGAAATCGTCTGCGATGACGTTAAATTGGTATCAGTATTTGCTCTGGGATGGGATTTTCGTTGGATTGGGTGCGCTTCTACTGGTTGTGGTTTTAATTAGAATGCTAAGTAAGGTTTTTTGGGGTTTGGGCGATATAAGTATGAAGAAAAAACGTGATTAACTACTGTTAACGGATTAATGTACTTACCTTAGCAAAAGTAATGCAGTAAATATCACTTCTGCCAAAATTCCGTGATACTCACTCTGTAATTGGGCGCAAGCCTGTTGAGGGAACAAGAGAGCGATAATAAAAAAATAATAATAATATAGTTATTTATTTTTCATTTGCCTATTATATGTCAATTATATCTCTCATATGAGATATATAAAGCAGTCTATGACTCCCGAGGGCATAATGAGAGAGCATAATGAGATGACAATCTATTATGCCCTCTCATTATGCCCTCAAACTGCCTGTCAAATATATTGACGGAGTTATGTAATAAAAAAAGATGCTACTTGATTCGTATGGAGCACTAACAATAAATCATTACATTTGTATATTGGAAATGCATTATTTGGAACGATGAAAAATAAAATGTTGTATGTACCTCAGGCATTACTCGATATTTAACCCTCGGGCGACTTACAATCCCTCGGGCCAGAGGCCCTCGGGCTCTGTCGCCCTCGGCATAAATATCGCCTTAATGCCCTTGATACATAAATAACTATTATGCATCAAGGGCATTAAGGCGATATTTATGCCGAGGGCGACAGAGTCCGAGGGCCTCCGGCCCGAGGGTTAAATATTGAGTAATGCTTGAGGTGCATACAACATTTTATTTTTCATCGTTCCAAAGAATGCATTTCCAATATACAAATGTCATGATTATTGTTTGCCCAACATTAAAGTGCTCCATACGAATCAAGTTGCATCTTTTTTATGACATAATATAACTCCGTCAATCAATTTGACAGGCCAATTTGAGGGCATAATGAGATGACAATCCATTATGCCCTCTCATTATGCCCTTGGGCGTAATAGACTGCTTCACATATCACATATGACAGATATAATTGACATATAATAGGCAAATGAAAAATAAACATATTTATAAAATAAAATTTGGAGACTTAAGCAAACATTTTAAGTTTGAAAAAAAATTCAAAGGAAATAGGAGAATATTTTGCGAAAATAAGAGGGCATCAGAGGGTAGAAGTTGGGGTAAGTTAACGCAACGTAAAAAAAACCAGGCGAAAAGAGGGCAAATACTTAGTCCCAATTTTAAATTTTGAAGAAATGCGTGCAATATAAGGAGATGAACGCATTCATAGAAGTAGGAGGTATTGGAACTACAAAATTAGAGGAATCTTGGAAGGAAATGTCGGGAAATTAAGCAACTGTTTAGAGTGAGAGGAATAGAACATTCTACACATATAATAAACATAGAAAAATAGTTATTTGTACAACTAGTTTTGGCCTCATTAATCAAACTGCAAATTCATGAAAAAAAGACACTTTCAAAATGTGTTGTACACGAAATGTTTTTATATAGTGATCCTTAACACAAGTGAATAATGTCATTGAGATTCGCCATTTACTGTCACCCAAAAATGGATGCTACTGATCATAGATAGGACTAAACGCCATGGAAACGCATTGTATAAATCTTGAAAAAAAGTAACACTTTCCATACGATTTTGCGTTAAAAAAGTCCGGTAATTTGATAACTATGCAAAAGATATGGTCCGTCGTGGGAATATTCAAGTATCTCGTTCTCGAACGTGCTTCATCTACCTCATTCCGAATATACATACGTAAAGCAGTACAAATGATCCTATTCTATTTACATCTGAATTAAAATTGCGTTTCTACTTAATGAAGTAAAGGGGCAATTTGTGCATATTAAAAAAATTATGGATTCATGGAATGTGCCACACGCATATTTAGTAGTGAAAGATTAACGCAGTTTAAACTCCACCATTAAAATGTTGCCACATAAATGCGTAAGAACATCAGGAAAAGCATTGAGTAGGGTTTCAAATATCATTGGTGTACAATTTTTTTGGTGAGACCATTGAATAAGTAATCATAGGTATTCAATGGCGATATGAAGGATATGAAAGCATGTTCGGAGCTACATCAATCCTTCAACTTCAAAGTAAATGAGGTAGACGAAAATAACAAGTTGCAAGACGTTACAGAAAGTGGGTACATCGCAATAATTACGAACGGAACTGAATTGGTTAAAGTTTGGAAACGAAAGCTTAGGAAACATGCCACATTTTCCGTAATAACTTCCAACAACTATGCCACATTTAACGTTAAACAGGTTGTTATAAATCTTCTAAAGCACCGAACTTCCAACAAATTTGAGGCATAAAGTTTTTTCTAGGCCAATTATTAGCAGGGCTTTATTGATTTATAGGTTCCGAGTGATATATTAGCAGAATGATAAAATAATAGAGCACAGAAGAGTCCAATTTTGATATGTTACTACCTACTAAACCACAAATTGGATTATTAATTAGCGGAAATGTTTGTAGTATTGTGTTTTGTGTTTTGTTACTACAATAAAGTTATTATTGCAATCCTTTCAGCAGGTGATTACTATTATACAGGGTGTAGAAACGGCTTACGCACCATAGGGATTTCAATGCTAATTTCTTTATATCTAATTATTTTCTCCTCTAATTATTTTACAGGAAAGTTGTAAATACGTTTTTCTACAACTGTCAAAAAAACCTGTCATTTTCTGACGAATTTCGAAGCGCGAAGTACTAGATTTTTAAACGGTTAATTAATAAGTAAGGTTGCTCTTGACAACGTGCGCGAAATCGTCAACAGTGAAAAAAAGTATTTCGCGCACGTGACAAAGTTGAACTTAAACAGCAAATTTAATGAACAATCGGTTCAGTTGTAGAAAAAATATTGTATATAACGCTAGCGCGAAGTTATTTCGCGCATTTGACTGATATTTTAACTCGGCTTCGCCTCGTCAAAATACCTTCAGTCTCAATGCGCGAAATTGAACTTCGCGCTATTGTTATATAAATAACTATTTTGTATAAATTATAATGATATTATCTACATCGAAGGATTTAATTATTGAAACAAAAATTCGATTTTTACGCAAATTCTACATTCTAATTTAGTTATTTTTTCAGATTTCCCGAATTGAAAAGTAATAAATGAAGGGCACTGTGAATGTTGATCGATTAGGCTCAACTTTTGGAGTTGCGTTTTATATGGCCAAAGCTATACGCATATTGAATTTCATGCAATTCGGTTCATAACTCACGGAGATGTCAAATGGGCTTTCCTTATTTTTTGGGCCACATCGCCAATTTACGAACTCCGATCTACAAATTTGATAAAGAATCCACCCACAAAATTTAATCGTAATCGGTCCATTCGTTATCGAGATATCGTGCTAACCGACAGACGGGCAGAAACCGCAAACAACTTAAAACTCATTAATACGGTAAAAAACTGCAATAATAGAACCCTTGACCTAATTTTAACTAACTTAAACGCGGAAATTAAATCTGCTGTCGACTCACTGGATAAAATTAATCCACTTCATCCTGCACTAGAAATGGTCTACAAAGTCCATAGACCAGCTAAGCGAATTACCAAATTAACCAACTTCAATTTCAAAAAAGCAGATTTTCTTAAAATGTACGTCCTTTTTCGCGATGTCAATTGGAAGGAGTCTCTTATCCTGAAGAATTTCAAATCGGTAGATGATGCAGTAACTAGCTTTAATCAAACGGTAATGAACATTTTCGATGAATGTGTCCCAAAGTTACAATTAGGAGTGCCAATAAGTATCCTAGCTGGTTTAATATAGACATTATTAAGAAAATCAAACAGAAAAATAAGTTTCGGTTACAGGGCCAATCGGAAGACTTCATTGAAGCCAGAAAAGAACTCAAAAGAATGATCCACATTGCTCATAAGAGGTACATTAATCAAATTGAAATGGATCTGCGGAAGAATTCCAATAAATTCTGGAACTACATCAAGTCGTTGAGGAAGAATAGTCAACTACCTGGAGTTTTTGAGTACAAAGACACCTCGTTAACGGACGCCAGAAGCATTGCGGACGCCTTTGCATCCTTCTTCGAGTCAGTCTACACTATGGAGAGGAACGATGACCCGGAAGATGACGTGGAATCGGACCTGGTGCTATCCAAATTGCACTTGACTCAGTTACATGAATCCGAGATACTGGAAGCAATTAAAAAATTGAAACCGAGGCCGGCTATAGGCGAAGATGGAATCCCACCCTACATCGTGAAAGGATGTGCATCTTTATTGGTAACCCCCTTACAACATCTATTTAATTTAGCTTTGCAAACATGTACATTCCCTGAAGCTTGGAAATGCACCAGAATAACACCAATTCACAAAAGTGGAAGCCGAAAATTAGTTGAGAATTATCGCCCAATTGCAATTATACCAGCAATAGCGAAAATTTTCGAAAGAGTGATCTATACTAGACTTTATTCCCATCTCAGCAGTATAATTGCAGATCAACAGCACGGTTTCACGCGGAACAGATCAACTATTACAAATTTAATGCAGTTTACGCATTTCTCAGCAGGAGCCTTGGATGAGAGAGCCCAGGTGGACTGTGTTTATACAGATTTTGCGAAGGCATTTGATACAGTATCCCATCAAGTCTTGCTCCGTAAACTTGTTTTAAATTGCGTAAGTAATCCGACCGCCAATTCTTAAAATCATATTTATCTCTCCGTAAAACAAGAGTGAAATTCAATGGTGTGAATTCAGCCGAATTTTATCCCTCATCAGGCGTTCCCCAGGGAACACTTCTTGGTCCTTTTCTGTTTCTCTTATACATAAATGATTTACCGCGAGTGATAAAAAACTCGAAAGTACTACTATTTGCGGACGACCTAAAACTTTTTAATAAAGTCCAATCCCCAAGTGACTGTTTAAATATTCAAGAGGACATTAACTCAGTAATTAAGTGGTGTATCAAAAATAAACTAAAACTAAATATCAATAAGTGTAAAGTCCTTACTTTTACTAGATCGAAAAATCCCTTACTTTTTGACTATAAGATGAATGGAAAGGTCTTACTACGAGTCACCTCCGTTAAGGACCTGGGCGTGTTTTTCAATACCAACCTTAACTTTAACTTACATATTGAATACCTAACAAATGAGTGTTACAAACTTCTTGGTTTCGTTATCAGGCATACACTCAATTTCACGAATATACAGACAATGCTAACCTTATATAATGCGTTTATTAGATCCAAGCTTG